GGGAGGAAAGCGTGTATAACAGGAAATCCGATCTCCCTCACTTGTGTTCAACATCCACGAAACGGGGTCACAAGATGCTATTGTCAAGCTGTCACTTAAAACGGGTTGTTGACGGTTTACATTTTAATTCAATTTAGGTAGAGACGAACCAACAACTCACGCTCAAGGAAATGAAACCAACACGTGTACTTTACACGGCGGTTTGGCTGCTTCTGGCTGTGAAACTCGGTAAGTTTGTATTCTATGGCGCGTTTTTTGCACGCAGGCTCGGAAAAACAGGCGAACACGACGCGAAAGCTGCGCATGACTGCTGACTGTCTATAGTCAAGGATGTAACCGAACAAGTGCCTTTTTTCTGTCGCCGTGATCTCCAGGCCTTGTTACTAAATGAAATTACTTTTGGGCGGTACATTAGAGACGCCTTCGCAGGGAAGACGTTAGCAGTGGTCCGGAATATTTGAAACCCATAATCTAAAGGACATTAGTACCTAGCGGCGCCTTAACGCGCAAAATGTCGGAATGACACTAAATCATGGCTAAAGAGAGTATTAAACGCACGTCTGTTTGCAGCTTTGACCTCTTACAAAATCGTATTTTATTTTGGCTTAAAACGGTGGCTTGGCATTTTAAATTGGATAAATGTGTTCGTTTGCGAGCAGAAACACCTTTTGGTGTAAATTTCATTCGTGAGTTGCGCTGCTATTATCAGTTCCCTTATCTGGGTGCACTGTCAAGCTGAATTCTTGCAGGCACGTTTTGTCAGATCTTGTTCATCAACCGCGGTCATATGACTGTTATAAATGTCTTTCTTTGCCCGATTCGAAAGTTCTTTAACAAAAGTCATCAAATTATAACCTCTGTGCTGTTAACTGAACCAATTACACATGTCATAAGCAATAATTTAGAAAAATCGAGTCAAGCACCCCTTTTGGTTAGTGAGCATACTCAAGCCTGTAATTGAAATAGTATTGCGAGACAGCTCATTAAAAACTGATTAGAACTAGGCTAGTTCTTAAGTTTTACTGTTGAAACCATTACAATGATTTGCAATTGTTTTCCTCATTAAACCAGAAGAACGCGGAGAAAGCTTCTAACTGTCAAATCATTATCTTCATAATAAAATGTGCTAAAATCGAGCGGAAGGACTTTGTACAACACCCGAATTATATTACTTGTGATTGAAACATCGACCTCACGATAGGCTATGAATAAAAAGCAATCAACGCTTTGTTATGCTGAGGTATTTTTTCGCTGATTTCTATCGCATTCCACAAACTACACTCCACTTTCACTGGTGAAATGTTTCAGAGAATAGAACTAAAGATTGCGCGCCAACAAAGTTTTCTAGCGCGAAGACTCCTTTTAGAGAGTTAACCAACTATTTGGTATTTTTTGGAAATTTCCTGGGCCATGTTTGAAATCGCGATTGATTTGTAATTTTGCCTGGAAGCTGTGTAAACGATCAGTGCCTTAATTAACTTGTCGATATCCGGGACGTATGTCGACCACTATCATTATTATTTCAATGATTACATGAATGCATTCAAGGTCACGTTATGTGAATTTTGCAATGTCTGTTGTCTGAATTCTCGCGCGCTTCACTCGAATTTTCCAAAACCCTACAATGAAAGCTAGCGTTAGAGAAGAGAACTAAGAAACTTCTGTAGCTCTTAAAAACCTTGCTTTGAAGATTGCTCTCTTTACGTAATCATGGACCGTCAATCGATCAACGACGTGACAGCGATTGGAGAACAGGACAAAAATTCCTAAGGAAATTACTGAAAATTCTTTAAAAAAAAAACCGTACGTAAGGAGCATTTGGTTACAACATAACGATATTTTTCGATAGAAACGGGAGTGACAAAGGCTGCAGAATTCTCCATATGAAAGTTTCGCCCACGTTTTCTTTTCTCGTTCACGCAGAACATAACGATCAGCTCACAAAACCGTTCAACTTTGGCCTGCCTTTCCTGTCCTGTTTGCTGACTGTATTAAAACGGTGAAATCCATCTTAAATTCCATCTTTCTCGTTCGCTGTTTACCTCTGCGGATTAAAAGATGGGGGAGATTAAAATTGAAATGAAATGCCTCGCCCTGTGAATAGCTTTTAAAAGATTAAAAAAGATCCACCATAAAATCCTTTTTGCTGGAATGTCAGCTTGTGGCGTGTTTATAATCCCCATCTCTTCATTTCCTCACCACTCTACAGAATGTCACATTTGGAGAACAAATTCTATGCGCAGATAAAACATGCTACTGATTCAGTTTAGAGACTTAAAGGCTATGGTCATGATAGTATATTCACCGAGTTAACCACCCCTCTCTCAAGACATATCGTGTTAAGCACGGTGCGAATTTTGTGTCGTCTGGCTTCCATGCTATATGCTACTGTTTGAAGAATTAACACCTACGCAGGTTAAACTCAAGTGAGATTTTACGACCGGTGTGGTGTTTAATGCAGAAAAAGAGCGACTTAGTAGAAATTTTTCCTTGCGGATCAAATTTTGGTGAAATATTCAAGCAGCACGCCAGCTAAAAGGGAGGTTTTTTAGTTTTCGTTCATACAATGGAAAAGTAAGGTCTACTTCGTCCGCAGACCCTCGAGACTATTTAATTAACAGTTGTCTGCTCAGTGACCTGGTCTTTGAATGACAGTGAGGCTTTAGGTGACCTTGTTTTGATACAGACCTCACTGCTTTTGTTGTGAAAATTAAGTTGTTCTAATGCAAACTAGTTTGCATTTTAATGACAAAAGCAGAGAGGTCTGTATCAAAGCAAGGTCACCTCCAGCCTCGCTTTCATTTATAGGCCTGGTAACTGAGCAGACAACTGTAAAATGGTCAACTGTAAATTTAGCAAGAAGAAACTTGGAACGTGTATGACCTATACTCCTGGCCCCGTCGGTTTCGTTTGAGCTCTCCAACCAAAGAGGGAAGCTTAGGCACGAGGTGGGAGAGGTTAAATTCTGGCGTCGGTGCCGTCATGAAGTTTCACGACAATGTGATTGGCTGGGAAGGAGTGTCTTGGTACCAGACTGCAGTAACTTCGCTGAGACAGCAGTATCAAAATTCTACTTGTGAAAAAAAGGGAAGGCTTTAAACAGCTTTCAAGGTGAACAAATTAACAAGTAGCGTGTTCATCTCTCTAAGAAGGAACTCGTAACAAGTCTTCAAGAGCGACATTTTGCCGTTTTTTCCCCCACATATAACACACTTTAAGCTATTTTTTCTTTCTTTTCATAGCTCAATCTATTATGTGCTTCTCCTGTGGTTTTTCCGAGTCCAATGAAGCCAATTCGTCGAGTAGCTGTGAAGCGAACTCAGAAATCAAGAACTGCTCTGTACATCCTGACTTTGGTGACCTTTATGACTCTTGTTTCTCGCAAGTGGTCGTTGTTCGCGGCAAGACTAAAATCCACATCAAAGAATGCGCTATGTCTTGGGGTTGTGAAGAATTGGAAGAAATTTTATGCGGCGGGAACAGCGTGGAGGATTCGGAAAATTCTTCTCCAGAAAACTGCAGGGTCGAGTGCTGTAAGGAAGATTACTGCAACGAGAATCTCCTCAACGATGCGTCTGCATTCAATGGAATTAACTTCATGTCGAGCTCATCGACCATCAAAACTATTTTGTTATCAAGTTGCGTTGCTGTATTCGACGTACTCGGTTTATTAATACTTTGGTGAGTGAGTTCTACATATACTCTGGCGATATAAACGGCCAAAGAACTTTACAGCGGAGTGTTTACATCAGTGTGTTGGTATATAGCTTCGTGGAACCTTGAATGAAGGTCTGGGCGAAGTTCACTCAGATTATTTTAAGGCTTTATCTAAGCCAGTGATCATGAACTACGTTTTGTTTCCAAAAAGACTGAGTTTTGGGCCAGTGGTGTTTGTAAATCCACTGTAGTTTCAACTAGCGCTGTCATGCGCATTTTCAGGGAGCTCATGCCCTGTTTTATGATTGGTCAATAGTAAATAATGAATTCACGGCTATAAGGTCTATTAATGGTGCCGTTGTGTTGTTTGATCAAAAAGGTAAGATGTAATTTTATATTCGTTACACAGTTTTGACTTTTAAAGCGTCTAAAGGTTATCAAAACGGCCTACTTCCTACTAACAAAGAGTTGCTTCTCCAGACGGATAATCGACTTAACAAATTGAAACTCGGGAGTGCGCTTCGCACTGACGGTCAAACTAAATCAAGACCTGACTTTGAGGACTGCGGAAAAGAAATACCCAACTTAAGTAACAGTCAAATTTCAGAGAGTGAAAGGATTAAGCTACAGTTCATCTGCCGGGTTTGTTTTATACATGTTATATTTACTGACAAAACAAGGAAACTCAAATACAAATTAAAAACGAAAACAGTAAATTACTGCTGAGTTTATTTTATGTCTGTGAAGAGTATTTTTATGCTTTCCGCTCGAGGTTTTCTAAATGGTGACACATGGCATACCCATAGGGCTCTTGCTTCTCCTTCTTTCCTTCCTATATTCGCTTTTTCTCTCCCTTCCATCTCCCCCCTATCTCCCAACCCTCTAAATAACCTTGTGACATCATAAACACAATACCTTGACGTCATTGGAGGGATAAAATTTAAATTTGCTATGATTACCGGGACGTGATTGAATCCGTTACGTTCTAATGACAAATAAAGACGGCACTTGAGGTCACGATCAGAGCTGCTAATTAAGCCCTTGTTTAGTTTACAAACCGGCTTTGAAAGTAGTTTACTGGTCAATGAAATCGAACTGGCTCAAATGAGCTCGAAAATACACGCTATGAGTACAAACAAAGACACGAAAAATTAAACCGAACAAACCTTTTGAAAGTTGCGCACAAAGAGTTTAATAGTTTAACCGGATGTTTTTGACTCTGTACAGATTAAAACTAACTGCGGCTACCCTACAGTAAGAACAGCGTTGATTGCTTTAGATTAGCGCTTTAACACTTCTGTCATAGACTTGTGATCTATGTACGTGAGGAGCTGACAACGAGGTTTGATTAACAAATCCACGCCGCAGGTTGGGTCAACATAATTCCTTTATACAGTTGGTTAGATCACTGACCCATGTAAAAGCGACCCGCTGCCGTCATAAAGCTCACATGTTGCGCGCTGTATGCGAGAAAACCATTACAAGGATTAAAGTAAAATAAACAGTCAACTGACTTGTGACACACCAAGAGCTCTGTGCGTCGGTTGAGAATAGCAAGTTATTCCTCGGATTGGAGCCAACGATCATGAGCGCACATTTGGCGAAACAAAGACGTCTAAAATCCGTTGCGCTGAGCGCAAGTTTTGATCGACAATTCCGCGCCGACACCATGAATGCACGAGAAAATGTGAAATTGGAGAAACAGCATCGCGACATCGAGCTTTTAAAGAACAACGTCGAGAAGTCGCACAAAGCAGAAAAGAACCGAGTTAAGTCGCGAATGCAGAACTTGCGGAAAACCGTTCTTTGCCGTACACCGTCGAGCGAGGGTAGCGGAACATCTTCGGTGAGCACGAAAATGTGCGAAGAAAGAGTTCATCTTCCGAAAATTTCAAGCCTGGAAAATGACAGTAAACTACAGGCGAAAGAAATAGACTTCAGCAAATCAGTACCGGATTTGCACTTGCTCTGCGCAGAAGACGTGCAGAATATGACTCACTTTCCTACAATAACAGCTGCCCCTTATAGCCCTCGGGGCACACGGAGAATATTGGTCCGAGAGCGTAACGACTCGGCTCGTGCAAGAACGCAATCTCACAGCGCAGTAGAAGATTTCAATTCCAATTTGAAGTGCCCACTTGAATCTAACGGGATGGTTATCGACTATGAAAAAGAGCAATGCTACGAAAAAACTGTTTGTACCCGAAGAGCTCGGTTAGATGTGGACTCTTTCCAGCCATTCAACAGATTGTCTTCGCGAAGGCGAAGCTTGAGCACCGGGGACATAAGCTTAGCAGAGAGAGTTAACTCTTTTCTTGAAAGTATTGAAAACCCTCGCCTGATGGAGTCATCAGACAGCTGGAGTGCTTCCAACTCAGAAGATGAAAAGGAAAGCTCTTAGAGATGAAGAAATCTGTGCGACATGGAACTTAACTCATCACCACACATGGTCGGTTAAGCTTAGTGTAGTGGAAAATAAAAAAAGCGAGCTCTTTGTTAATACTCAACTTAAAGTAAACGCGCAAGTATTCCAAACTTTAACTTTGCTTACATTTCACAGCTTTATTTATGTTATACAGTACTATCAGTTGTTCTTCTTTTTTTCCCCTTAAAAAACATGTGTCGGTAACCTTTTGTCTAGCGCCGGAAAGAAATCCACATTCTTAAACATTGCACGTTAGTGTTAAATAAACATTAGTGCCCCGGCTACAAAATACCAAAGAAAGAATTCTCTGAAAGCTTGTCGCTTTCATGTCTATGAAAATATGTATCGGAGGAAACCTTCATTTAACTGAGATCCCTAAAACCTAAACAGTTTTAGGTTGAGGATCAGAAAAAAAGGTAATAAACTTGTTACTTTTATTACATTTGTGATCAGTTGCGTGGCTTCATTGCTTTTTTTTATTCGCGAAAAAATAAGATTGTTCTCACCTTGTACATATTTAACATAAGAAACATTTTACACGGCAATCAGTTGTTAATTAGCTGCAAAAATCACTCCCTGGCTTTTCGTGTTTACCGAAGGATTACCGTTTTTACGTAAGTGCGACGTAATTGTCATAAAAAAAGACCATGTAATTCAAAATTGTGACGTAACTAATCTCATAATTACTTCGCGCTTTTTCTATTTTTTGTTCTAGAATAGACGACTAGACACTTCGAACTGTTTTGTTTTTTCTTGTGTCTGTGAATTTCTTTTTCTTGGAGGTAAAGAATTTGTTTTTATCGTTCTGCTGTCACGGTATAGTTTTCTATAGATTGTTCAACAATATCCCTGTATAAGCAAGGCACCAAATATGTTTACTTACATGGTTCTTCGGCTCAGTAAGCATGCATATCATGTACTAAGCTCGTGGCAAATATCACGCTTTCTACTGGCGCTTATGCAGTTTGCTGTGAATTATTCAGTCATCTTGCATTTTTTGTCCGTATTTTAATATTGTGCTCCAAAACTGTATCAAACAATAATAGCAAAAAATAGATTGCGATAGACAAACAATGGCATCTCATGAAAGTACCGTTAAAAAGTTTTTATTTGAATAACGTCGTTGGTGCACTTGCCTCAGGATCGAGCGGTCCAGGTTCTAGCCATGGTCGGGGACCATTGCGTTTGGTTTTAAGACAAGACACGACTTCACTTGTGCAATGCCTCTCTCCAACCAGAAGAGAACTGAGAATCCGAGCTACGGGAAGAAATACTCGCTCTCACAGTTACTTTCGAGCCCGGCCGCCTCGGGGGAGGGGGCTACTCCCTTATATGGGTTATATAGGTATATGCAGTCCTAAAGGGTATAGTTTTTAGCCGTTTTTGGTCAGAAATAGGGTATGGATTTTGGCCAGTCTGGTCTCAGACAGGATATGGTTTTTGCAATCTAGTCTCGAATTGTACCTAATAAAAGCATACAGTGTTGTATAATCATTGTCTTAAACATTTCTGTGAACTAGGGAACTAATTATAAGGCAGGTCTTAAATAGGGTATCAAATTTTTGTTCAGGTCATAAATAGGGTAGGGAAAATCGCAATCAATTTTTCTGGAAGTACCTCCCTGGGATAATTGCAAATATTGCACTAATGCCGTGGAATAAATGAGGATGTCATTAGCCTGAGAGACACTATGCACATGTTTTTAGTTTATGAGGATTGACGTTTTAATGACAGTCTAAGCTCTGGACACACACTGCAACAAAGCGTACAATTTCTAAATTGCAGCCCTGATTGTCCATCTCTAAAACTGTCATGCGCAATGTTGCGGGCAATTTTGCAGACTTCTACAACATTGCAAAGAGAATTTGTTCCCAACTGCGTAATATAACTGCGATACAACTGATTTCCTGCCTTTTAATAAATGGTTATCTATTCCTAGGTCTCTAGCCCGCAGAACACTGCTGAAAATGCTGCGCGCAATTTGCTCAATTTGTTATTTTCCGGACCTTTGGCATCCTCGACTCAAATAGGAATGATTCGCTATAGGGACCATGCATTCATGCTCCAAGGCTAAGCGAAAAGCCGAAATGAACGGGTGTGGGGTTCTGAAATAAAACTGATTGCTCGCTTGAGACATAAGCGTCCAAGAGCTTTCAAAGCAATCAAGCGTTCAGATCTTAGTCCACTTTTGAGCAGCGGCGCGCGCATGACAATTACATTCACGGAAACAAAATGGCGGCTGCAGTGGAAGCAAGAACCTGTGGATCGTGTTGTCTCAAACTAAAGGAACTTGTCAACAGTTACGAAGAAGAATTGGGACTGAAAGGAAAGGAATTTGATGGCACAAAGAGTAAGTATCCCATTGAACGGCTGTTTCAGTATTTTTGATTAATTTTGACCTGCTCGTTTTTGGAGAGTTCCGCGATTTGTTGACAAATCCTCCTTTGTTCTCATCTACTCTCTCCTTGGCACTCTGAAGTTTTTTAAGGGGAAATTACATGTAATGTGTTGATCACAGAACGCTTTTAATTTGCAAATAAGCTGGTTTACCAGAGTAAATTTCCTGCAGGTCACCTTGTATATTTGCTTTTTTACAAAAACAAAAGCATATCCAGAGAATCCAACCCAAAAAAGCAAATCTGGGAGATCACCAATTTTACTGTTTTTGACCATGAACAAAATTGTTCAAAGTAGAGCTCCACCAAATAAAGTGCAAAAATGCATCAAATATCCAAACGTTTTCCCAAAAATGCCAAAAATCATGTAAAATATGTCTGAAAAAAAATGTATTTTAAGCACTTTCATTCATATTGTCTGGGAGATTTGGTGACCCATACGGGAGACAGAGAGATTCTGTCTGGAGACTCCCTGATAATTCAGTAGAGTTGGTATAGATGCATGTACTTGGCTTGTCTTAGAATGCACTTCAGCTGGCATAGCATATACAAATCTGTGTCAGTCACTTTTAAGTATGCTATAATAATAATTATTATTGTAGTAGCCTGCTTTTTAAAAATGGTTTTCACTTTGCAGTTCATGCCTTTGGGTCGTTGAACTTCTACTTGGAACACAGCAAGTTTACTGACTTATTGAACAGTATCAGGTCAAAGTGTGAAAGCTGTGCAACCTGGCCTGACCCTGCTAAAGCCATCAAAGCTTCTCTGGTAAGATTTAGGATCACAATCCAGGGTTGACATTAAGGGCTGTAACCTATAACACCTGGTACAGTTGAGTATGCTTGATTTTGCCTTGGTACTAAGAGTGGAATTCACAGAATTCACCCGCAAAGTAACATGTTTGTTATGGGTGTGGAGAACTGGGCTGGGTTGTTTGAAAGCCGGTTAGCGGTAACCCAGGATTAAAAGTAAACCAAAATATTAATTTCTCTTGTATAAAAATATTTTCACTGTTTATGTTTTGTGTAGTTTGCAGTTATTCAAACTCTAAACAGAAGGACAAACAATATAAACAAAAAACCTCACCGAAAAGTTGCAAAACTGAAACAAAATTCTTGTTAATCCTGGGTTAGCTTAATCATCCTTTGAACAACCCCACCTTGGACTACAGATGATTCAAAACTAATGACAGCCCCGAATTCTCAATGCAGTGTGATGCACAGTTGAACCATTTTACGACAGCCCTGGTGTAGACAGAAGGCCATGGTAGAGGGGTTTCAACTAGAGGAAATAAGATTCTGGATATGTTTACTTGCTATGCAGCAGTGACATTTATTTATTAGGTGCTAACCGTTTAAACCATTGGAAACTTAATGCTCTTGTATTTTATGTAGGAAAGGCAGCAGCAGGTTGAAAATCTTGCCCCTGTGAAAAATTATATCTCAGAATGTTTGGATAAACTACAGAGTGCGATGAGAGAGAAGTCAACAAAAGTTGTTGCACAGAGACTTGAAGCTATTACAAGAAAAGTTGGGTAAGAATATTCCATCGTATCAACCAAAACTAAATTGCTATTTGTAATAATTTGTTGATACTAATCTCACTGTCTGTCATATTTGACAGGTTGAAGTTCATTGAAAGTGGACGAGATTGCTTTATTAATTCAGACATGTTTTATGTTGAGGTACTGCAGATATAGTGTGTGAAAATGAATAATTCTTTGATGTCCTTTAAGAGTGATTAATATCAATATTCTAGGCTTGTCTCTCCATTACAGTTTTAACATAAGATATTAGAAGTGAGTCCTGAAGATACACAGCATTTATTTTTATGTTGGGAGTGTTACTTAAATTATTTTCAATGGCATATTGATTCAGATTTTATGTAGGTAATATAAAACTTTAGCTCAGCCTTGATATGATTTCTGGAATTCTACCTTTTGTGATATTTTATAAATAAATGAATGAAGTCTTTATTTCTTATTCAAAATCATCAGACAGCAGATGTGAGTCTAGAAATCAAATCCTGAATGAAAGCAAGATGAATAAAATTTAAGATCTACGTAATTTAAAATCTCCAAATTAATGTATATTGTGAAATAATAAGGTGAATACAATTTAAAATCTGCACAAGTTTAAAAACGCGTCTGTTCATGAACAGGTTTTTGTATCTCTTAGTTGTTGTCTGGGGGAGTTGGAATTCATGCCCTGGTCCTTTTTCCTAATATTCTTGACCATTTTGGCGGGAACAAACCTCGAAGTGGGCAGTCTTTTGTCATAGTGAACTTGTTGAACAAAAGTTGATCTTTGTCTTCAACTGAGGTCAATCTTTGTAGGTTCGTATGGACACTGATGGAACAGTTTCTGAAGTGAAAGTCGCTCATACAGGTGATCCTGAGGTAGGTTACAAATTTAGATCATCATTTACTTGCAAAAAACTGGGGATGATTTTAATTTTATCTGATGTTTTTAGGCTTCTGAAATTTTACATGCTCAAATTATTTATAGTAGTAGCTTGATAATTTTGAAGTAGCTCCAAAGCTCTTGTTGTCCTTTATGGAGAGAACTCTACACACTGTACATACTTTTGAGACACTTCTTGAGATATGACAGTAATGCGTTGTGGTTAGGGCTCAGTTACAAAGTCATAAATGTCAACTGGCTTTTGCTTTACCTCCACAGAGTTGTCCTGAGTTAACAAGAGTTCTAAGGTAGGTGGTCACAGTTGATTCCTCCACTGACGAATAATACTCTTTGATTCATTGTTCTAGGCATAGACAACCTTTTAACACAATTCAAGTATACATGTATAACATCTGGGGCAGCAGTCTTGACATCTTGATTTAAAGCCCTCCTGTTTGTACAATAGTGCCACTTCATTATGTTTCATCAGAGTGGCTTTCAACTGAGTGTTGTAAAACCAAAACCAAACCAATTACTTGCCAGTTAGACTACTCAGCCAATCTAAAACTTTAATAAAACCAAAACCAAAACCAAAACCAAAGTAATTGCCTGATTACTTTCAACACTCAATTGAAAACTGCTCTATAATGTATTTTTTAGATTGTTAATAAATAATTACATTTTGCTTTTTCACAGGGAGGGAGATTATGATGAATTTTTATGCCATTTACAAGGATTATGTGACCTGTACCAATTATCTCGTGACACGTAAGTAATATTAATTAGTAGATACTGGTCAATGTTTATGTTTACCTGTCCTTGATGTTATACAGAATGCACTGTCATTTAAATTTTTATGTTCAGACATTGTGATTGGTAATGATAACCATTATTAACACTATAAACAATCTAAATAAATACACGTGTGATGTGTAGACTGCAGTCATTAAGCTACCATTATTCTCAATAATTTTATTGCACATCTCAACAAATTTTTTCAGGTTTCAAAAACCAAAGATCCTTGCAGCTCTCAAAGCAGTGGAAACTGATATCAATACGATGGCAACATTCTTTGGGTAGTAGTATTTTCTGTGATCATAATTGTTTATTTTGTTCTACCCAGATGTCCCATGTTTTATATACCTCTATGTACTGTGCTGATCTCTGTGGGTTGCAAAATTGCAAGAGTCAACAGGTTTTCATTTAGCACTTGGGAGCAATATTGTAGGTCTTTCTGAATTACCTTTAGCCTCTTTCTCAAAGTGAGTTTTGGTGCCCATCCTTTACTATGAAAATGAGATTTCATTCACATGCAAATAATATTAAACTCATTTTCATATGAATGGTTGTGCACCAGTTTCTTAGATTTCAAGTGCCTTTTTTGTTGACTTCAAGGCCTGCTCGATATCAGAACATCTTAAATGTTTGAATATCTGATAAGTCAAACAGCTAGAAATGCATTTTATTTTATATGCAACTCACCAAAATTGTTTTTAATGTTAACACTGTTTCATAAAATGTCAGATCGTTAAAACTCTGAATTAATTTAATTTTATCAGAACAGACATCAGCTCAACAGAAGCAATTACACAATGCCCAGTTGGGTTTGTCACTCCACGACAGGGAGGTTTGTGATAAAAAGTATAATCTTGTAATAGGAAAAAGGTATTAATCAATCAATGACACAAACTACATAAAAAACATTTTCGAGTTCCAACTGAAGTCAAACCTATGGCCAAGTTTCACTCGCCAGCTGCAAGCTTAACAACATGATGTACAAAAGACTTGTTTTTAACAGCTACAGAGTGCCATGGATTGTTTTGTAAATTATGATAAGGTAAAGCTGTTGGGAGGTTTAGACACATGATAGGGACAGTTTTACATGTGTATGACCAAACTGGTATAACTAGTGTAAACAGCAGCCTTCACTGTTGGAGAGAATTAAAATATTTCCTTCCCTGGGCTGACAGAGTTTATTCAGATTTGCTCACAGACTGTCTTTATACATGTTGTTACTTGAAGGTCGTCGAATGCGCCTTGCATATTTTGCATCTCCTTATGAACTATTGGATGTTAAAAGACCTGGGCAGGATCGCCATTTTACTAGAGAAGGTAACATCAGTAATTTACAGACTGAAATAAATATTAACAAGAATTATTTATTTAATCAGAAATCATATTTTGCATGTAGTTGTGGTTTTGGTTAGTACCAGGTGGAACTAGTCTGATAATTTTCACAATTTTTAAATTCAGTGGCAAAATAAAGTTTGGATGTCTATCTTTTAAAATGGTAAGAATGGGAAATTAAAACCCCTAATCCACTGGTTTCTCTTTAGAGGAATTCAAAACCTCTATAGGGGTTCCTAATATTGCATTGTGTAGTTCCAGAAAATATTCATACCTCCCGCACAGAAGGGATTTTTCTAAGACCTCCCCCCCTTCCCCCTGGAAATTCCAATTAAGCTTCATATATTTCTTTAAGTTTTTTGCTCTTACAGAACCCCCTCCCCACCCCCAGGAAATTCCAATCCTTTCTGTCGGGGGAGTATGGATATTTTCTAGAACTGCACGTTATAGGAATACGTAACCTGGGACCTGACATTCTCACAAGTTAGGAAAATGTTTTGCAATAATCTGTAAATTGAGGGAAAGGTGCAGAGTGAATGTGAGTGAATTGCGTGCTGCTTCAAATTGGAGATTGAAGAGAAGTAAGAAAATAATAGGCTATTTCTGAGTTACCTTGTGCTTCTGTTTCAAAAAATGTCCTCATGCAAAACCTTTGATATGAAAATGAGTTTGATTTGCATGAAAATGAACTTTAGGCAGAACACATTTTCAAATGAATGGTTTCGCATGAAGACCTGTTTTGACACAGAGGCAAAAGGCAACTCAGAAATGGCCTATTGCCCTTGTGGATGGAATGTTTAATGATTGACCCTTTTTTATGCAGACCCCCCACCTCGAGACTTTGGTTACCAAGTGAGTGTTTCCCTGGAACAGTCACAAAAGTCTTCACTGCCCATCAGCCCTCTTATTGTAGAGCCTGTGAATTATGGCATGCTGGGACTGAGCTCAAGGTGAGGTGTTGTCCTGTTACTGTAGCTGTAAGTGTACCTGCAGTCACTCACTCATGACAACAAGTAACATCTGTTTGTGTGCACGTATTGCGGGCCTATGCTTCTCATTGCTTTATCAATGCTATGTGTTTCAGTGTCAAGTATCAGCCACTAAATGACAACAACAGTGAGGAGTTCCATGCATCGTTTGTGCTAGAGCTTTGTAAGCCATTGCCAGCTGCAGTGGAGGTTGTACACAAGATTTATGAAGTTCTTAATAAAGCAGGTAATATGCCACTACATTTTTTCTTCGGGAAGGGGTGGCATTCCCAGAAAAATTGGGTAGGGTGTGCGGCCTGCTTCCCAAAACCCTTTCCCTATAAGTATTTAAGACCAAAATCTGTGATCTTCCCTACCCTATTTATGACTTGACCAAAGATTTGATACCGTCAGTTTAAGACAATCAATACCCTGTTTCAGACCTGCCTTATGCTTATTTTCCTAGCTCAGACCGATAATAAAGGCATTGTGAAGGGCTTTTGTTGATGGCCCATATCGATAATGATGATAAAGTAGCTTCTTTAAAAAAGAAATACCCAATTCAAGACTAGAGTGCAAAAACCATACCCTATTTGAGACCAAAATCAATGGCCAAAATCAGTACGCTTTTCTGACCAAACGGCTAAAAAACCACACCTTTTGGGGCCTTATGGACTAGTTGCACAATCACATGGAGGATCGAGTGGTGATTGCATCACGAGCTCAATTCAATTTATCTTGTTCTACTTTTCAGGCACTTTCACTCATTCGTCACGAGTACCAATCGACAGCCTTATAATAAGAGAGGTAAGAACAGTTTATTTACGTGGAAAAGCGTCGTAATTGCAAACACATCGATTTGTTGACCTTCAGGTTTCTGAAGACTCGTTGGTGCTCGTACTAGTTTTTTTATTGGATGATAAGAATCGGAAGTCTACGCGTTTTCTATGAGGATTTTCCGGGAATAACGTTCTTGTTACTTGATGTTATAGATCGTTTCATGCTCTGCCATAGTTTGGAGTCTCGTACCGAATTTCACCACTTTGGAAAACGAGTTAATACATGCTCATGCAAACGTTTACTCCGTGACTGAAATCTTTTGTTGATCTTCTTATAAAACTTGCCACCGATTGACACCTATCATTTATCAGCTGTGGGTATGAGTTTATGTTTTCAAGTGTTCATTTACTTTTGTTTTGCAGTGGTTAAAAGAAAAAGGCGTTTCATCTGGTGAACACGGAAATACGTATTACGCGGTATGCGAGAATCATTGTTATTGGTTGAGATATCCACAGAAAGCGGGTTTATGACATCGCTGTGAAGTTCATATAAGCGGTTTTATGTCGACCAACCAAAAGAATCACCTCTGGCCAATCCCAATTAACGCAAGCGCGGGAAAACATGCACCCGGCGCTAAAGGCGGCGAAACTTCCAACTTGTTGGCAAAAAGTGCGGGAAAGCATTCAACTACTGCAAAGCGTGGGAAAATACGCGTTAAAGTGTTAATTGTGTTTCCGATTGGTGCAAAAACCGTGTTGTCTCCAATTTGTCAAGTTGCTGCTTGAAGCTTTTGAATTCTTTTTCTCTCCTTTATTTTTCCATCGTTCTTGGCTATATTACCTTCTGGGATGTATTTTGTTATCGTTACAGAGTTTACCACAGCATTACCATGTGTACCACGTGACTGAAAACCAATCTACAGCTGAGGAGCTCGTGCAGCCTTCTGGGATGGGACTGTTGCTGTTCAGGATAGGCTTTACACACCCCAGTCAAATCCCGGATATAATACCGGTACGGTACACCTCCCCACTATCCCACTTATGTCCAGAGATGTAAGCATTAACGAAATTGGCAGATTTGACGAAATTTCGTCAAACTGAATGAATTTTCATGGATTGGACGAAATTTAAGTCAATTTTGTCGAAGCCAAATCAGCCTGGTAAATTGACGATTTTCGGGACTTTTTGTCAGCCATTGCTGTGCAAATTATCTCATCAGACCTCATCATAGATGGTCCAAACATTTTGGCGAATTTGACGATTTTAGCGAATTTTATTCAATTTTGTCAAAGCCAAATCAGCTTGGTGGTTTTTGCGACTTTTCGACTTTTCGCCAGTTATAACTTTGCAAATGATCTCATCAGATAAGGTCCCAACGTATTGGCGAGTTTGACGATTTTGGTGGTGGACGTATCCCCACTATTCTTCTCCACTCGTTTCGTGCACTTTTATGAGAGAAAACATGAGCGATTAGTTGAATGGTGAGTGAAAGTAGGTTGCAACTGTCCCACCCGTTTTCGGTTGGAATCCAGTGCCAGAAAAACTGTTTGTCGCGCGTTTTTCGGTGGTATGGTTGCTAAGTAACAGACAACGTTTCGTTTTGTCTTGGCTGGATTATTAGTCATAGAAATTGCTTCAAAACAATAGGTACTGTTTTAATTTAAATTCATTTCTGACTCGGTGTACGATTTTTATTTCAGTTACTTCGAAGGCAAGCAATGTTCAACACGTTATTAACGAGTGCGCTAAGAAGCCACAAGCCTCTCAAGAAGAGTGAGTGATTTAATGCGTCATGTAATCCTTTACTAGCAATACTTAGTCACGTAATATTTTTGTCACGCAGTCTTCCTCGATTTCGTCGGAGAGAAATGTTGGGGAGGCGAACCAAGAACGTTGGTTTAGGTAAAGCTTGCTTGCGAGCCAGTGGCTTATCAGGCCGGAGCTTATCCCGGTTTCTGTAGCATGAAGCGACTAGGAGTATTTCTACTCCCCCCTGGATGGGATGCTAGTCCATCGCAGGG